CTTCAGACCTCAGGGTCAGCTCCCTGGCCTATCAGCGGCCCTAATTGCAGGACAAAGGTCAGCACAGTATAAGCAGAGAACTTTGCCTCCCGGAGGGGACCTCCTTTCTCTCAACCTTCATTTCCCCAACTGTCAAGTAGAAATACTAGAGCTGGCCCTAAGGAGGTTTTGAGACGCTCAGATCCAACATAGAAGGAATTTCACCAACCCAGGTCTCTTCTATCTGGTATGGCTGATCTGTACGGACAAACTTCTTCCATCAGCCTGGACACTGGCGGGCAGAAGTTCAGTCCTCAAGAGAAGGGAGCATGTGAGGTTTGTGGCTCACTCCTCCTGAGTAAACGGTAAACTCTCAAACCGGCACTCAAGACTGCTAGAGCTCTGGCACTGATGTGGCAAGCTCCTATTCACCCTTCAAGGCCCATCTGAAATGCCCTCTTCTCCAGAAAGCCTTCCCTGGGGCCTCTGGGTTTTCATAGGCCCTGGCCCTCCCACTGGTCTGATGCTAACCCCACAGGCTGGGATACCTGTACCCAGCTCGGCTTCCTTCCTCAGACTTGGTCCACGTACAGGTCAGGCCTGGGGCTGGGTTTATTTATAACCAAGCACATCTGAATGAATGCATGTCTGCGTGTAGATGTCGTGTGTGTGTGTGTATGTGTGTGTGTGTGTGTGTGTGTGTGTATGTTCCCACCACAAGTCTGAGACACAAGTGTCTTCTCCAGGCTGGGAGTGGCCCGAGCTATACCCTTTACAAGGGGCCCATCAGAATCGGATGTCCTGCATCCCCTACCGTCATCCAGAAAGAGCCAGGGTTCAAGCAGCAGGCTCCTGCACCCACCCTGCTGGCCCCCTGCCCTGGAGTCTACCGTTACATGGCTAGCTCCATCTGAGTCCCAGGTGCTCCCCCGCCTCCTTCTTGATCCAGCCCCGCCAGACAACCTTCCAGAACATACCTGAGGTTTGGCAGTGCCCCTCAGCCCGGCCCAGGCTGAGTCAGCAGGAAAAGGAGGCAAGTCGTCCCTGGAAACGCAGCTGGGACCCTGAGTCCTCCCGTGCTCCCCACACTCCATCCCATCCTAGGGCCCAGGAGGGTGGGCAGTGCTATGAGCACCTAGTGCTGGCCCAGCCCAGCATGGCTGGGCATGTAGACTGGAGGGGTGATGGGGGACGGGCTGACTTGGGCACCCAGCATCCACAGGTAAAGTATGCCATCTGTGTGGGCAACTGTGATATGTCCAGGAGTACACAGGGAGTGGGCACGCAGTCCCAGGACCCCTAGGTAGGGCTGTCTGCCAAGCATGCTTTGAGCCCCCTAGGGAGCTTGGGGCTGGAGGGGAGGGGAGTGGTGACTGTGGAGACAGACGGGAGGACAGGGCTAGCCTGGGAGCTGGCAGGGGCTGCTGATTGGGGCCTCTCTGGCTGCACCCACCCCCAAGCCCATCTCTGCTTCGCACAGCCTGTGAGCTCAGACCCTCCAGCCTCTCCCGGGCAAACTAGCTTCCTCTTCCTCCCTGGGCCGGCCCAGTGTCCACCCTGGGAAGGGCAGGCTGTGGTGCTAGAACACCAGCCTTCACCTGGGCTGCTCTTTCTCCGTTGACATGGGCTTTATTTCCACTATTAAAGCCCACAGTCCCCTGAGCCTGCCCCCCTACCCCCCCCCCACACACACACACACACAAGCCAGGTCTTCCTGGCTCCGCCAGCTTTGGGGTCTGAGGCTGGTTCCTACCCAACCCAGAGTGTTGATGGGAGAGACAGACAGGCTGGGGAAGTGGTGGGTGGCCACGCCAGGTCCATGAGGCCCAGAGGAAGAGCCAGACACGTCCTGCCAGGACAAAAGATGGCTGGACCACAGGATTTGGAGCCCCCCTCCCCCAGAGGGGCTTGCTCATAGGAAGGGGCAGACCCCAGCTTCAGAAAAGGAACACTTCCCGATAAGCTGAACCTAGCTCACTGGCATCGAGTCAATGCCCACCCACAGCGACCTCACTGGCAGGGTAGAACGGCCACTCTATGGAAGCAGAAAGCCTCGCCTTTCTCCACAGAGCAGCAGCTGCTGGTTCAGAACTGCTGACCTTGCGGTTAGCAGCCCAAAGTCACCCACTATGCCACCAGGGCTCCCGCAGAGCTCCGGGGAAACTTGATCATCCTCCCCTGCTCTGGCACCTCCCATGGCTCACTATTCAAGGTTCTCACCAGATCGGAAGACCTGCTCCCCTCCAACTGCTGCCCTGCTCCTAAGCCTCCCCGCTGCCTGGAACACCTCCCTGCCTTGCCCACTCAGCAAGCTCCTATGTGCCCTTTCAGATCCAGAGCCTCTATGCCCTGCTCCAGGAAACCTTGCCTCCTCCCTGGCCCCGGGCTTCCAGGTGTGCTGCGGTGAGAGCCGGGACAAGTCACTTCAACTGTGAAATGATGTATGTGTGTGTGGGGGGGTGGGGGGCACCCTAAAAGCAGATCTCCGCGTCTGAAGATTGACAGAGAGCCATCCATGCCCTTCCAATGAGTCCGGCTTTGGGGTGGGGCTCAAGTCCAGGCCACGTACAATGTGTGCTTGGTTTTATCGTCTTCCTGGTGGATTCTGCGGTTTTCAGTCTTTCTTGTTTTAAGTATTTTACGGTTCCAAGATTTTTCTTCTCTCGTGGTGCTAGGAATTTTAAGAACCCCTGGTTCTAAAATTATAAAACTCGAAAATAACGTGGGCCAACAAAAGGCCTCCCGTGCCCCGGGCTGACCCCAGGGCAGCTGGAGCGGGGGTCTCTGGAGGGAGTGGTGGGGCGGGGCGTGGGCTGACCCCAGGGCAGCTGGAGCAGGGGTTTCTGGAGGGAGTGGGGGGGGCATGGGCTGACCCCTGGACAGCTGGAGCAGGGGTCTCTCGAGGGAGTGGGGGGGGCGTACACCCCTCACTTCCTTCCCACACTGAGGGGGGAGAACTGGCAGCCTGCTGTGGGTGGAATGGCTTTACCATGAGGTAGGTCAGCCCTTGTTCCAGGAAAGGGGGCCAGGGCCTGGCTGGGATGAGGCAGAATAGGCACGAGGTGAGCAGACAGAAGGCTCGTGGCTCAGGGCAATGGCTTCCTTCTCTCAGAGCCTCCGTTTTCTCATCTGGTAAGTGGGACCAAATGCTGCCCTCAGGGCCTTGGGCAGAGGCCAGTTGCCCATTCCGGGCCAGCAAGACTTGCTAGGCATTTCTGCTTGAAAGCCCTGCCAGGTCTGCCTCTCTAGGGGAGTCCTGCCCTCTTCTGGCCCACCTCTGGGTAGCAGGGGAGGGGGTTTCAGGAAGGAGCTCATCTACCAGGAACCCCCTCAAGGAAGGGGACCAGGGCAGGGCCTTCCATGCAGCCCAGACCTGGCAGCTGCCCCTGGCGGCATCTAAGGCTCCAGCACTTCCTTCGTGACAAGTATTTGGCCTGGGAGCCTGACACCTCATCACCCGGGTTTGGGGATGAGGGCAAGCAACTCCAGCCTGGCTGCCATGTGGGGTGTCTTCCCCTTCCAAGCTCTCTGGTGGGGTGTGGTTGTTGGGGGGCATGGTATGTTCCAGATGAGTGCCAGCCCCTCTCCAGTGGCCACAATCCCCCTCGGGTGCAGCTGGGGACTCCGAGGGCTCCCCAAACCTTAACTCCTTGGACCTGCCAACTTCTTCCCACCCTGACCCCAGGTATGAGTCACCCTCAGGGCAGAGGAAATGGTGCTCCTGGGAGGTGGGCATGGAGGACAGTTTGGAGGTGTCAAGGCCTGAAAGAGGTTGGGTCTGACCAGATGGAAGAGAAGGGGGTGATGAGGAGGGACCAAGATGCCCCGGACTCCTTCAAGACCTAGGTAGCCCTTAGCTGTCCGGGCCTCAGTTTCTCTGTCTGCAAAATGGGGGTGTAGCCATAGATGGGCCCACCTGGGGCAGAGCAGTGAACAGTGACCATGGCTGAGGGTCCTGGAGTGGTTGGGCACATCTGGTCACGGTGTGGCCAGGCTCAGCAGGTGGAGCCAAGGGTGGGGTGGCTATGACCACACAGGGGAAGTTCAGGGCAGCTAAGTCGGCCCGACAGGTCCAGAGTTCCCCTGCCAGGCCTCCTCCCTGCCTGCTTCAGCCCTGGGCGCACAGCCAGACAGGAGCCGCTGCCCCTGGAGCCATGGCCAGGGCAGCGGTGGCTACCGTATTCAGCAGTCAGGGCCACACGGGGCTCAGAGGCTCACAAGTGATCTGCCTGCATGCACGTGCCCTAGACATGCCTCTGCCCCGTGGGGCTGCCGAGCTACCTGCACGTGCGTGTGTCGCGTGTGCGTGTGAGTGCATGGATATCTCAGGCATGTTTCCATGTGGGAACATACGTCTGTGCTGAGTAACCCCAGAGTCAGAGGCCAAGTTGGAAGTGAAGCGATTTTAATTGAGCACCTGCCCCTGCCCAGGGTCTTCCAGCACCAACTGCATGGGGACGACAACCCCAAGCCCAGCTCCCCACTCACACGGAAACCAGTCCCACAGGCTGGTCTCAATAAATAACCCCCAGGACAGAGCTTTGGGCGGGCACCCCACTGAAACCCCCAGTACAGCACCAAGCTTAATGGCAGGTGGGAGGGGTTTCTGCCTCCGACAGACCCCCCAGGCTATCCCTTGAACCACCAAACCAAAAGCCAACTCCTAACGACCCCTTAGGGCAGGGTAGAACTGCCCGGTGAGTTTCCCAGACTGTGGCTCTTCATGGGAGTAGAGAGCCCCGTCTTTCTCCTGAAAGTGCCGAACCACTATGGCACCAGGGGCAGACTCTGAAAACAGAGACAGCATTGCTAAAAGCCATGGTTCCTTCTGGTGTGGGGTCCTACAGTCAGAGCCCGTCTCGACCACCGGGTGCCCAGGGACACCCCAGTTCTTCTGTGACTGGCCCACCCTCAATTCTGGGCAAGGAGAGGAGGAGGCGGGAGACTGGGCAGAAACCTGGGATGGGGGTCTTTGGGAGCCAGGAGTGGGGCCGGGGGGCAGCAGGGGCTGAAGGGGCTGGTCATTGCCCGCGGGCTCTGCCCTGGCGGGTACGGGGTCTGCCAGTGGCACGGGCCTGGGCTCGGGCCACCTTGCCCATCTCCCGACGGATGTCATCCAAAGCTGTGGCTGGGGACTCGAGCAGCCGCTGGAAGAGGCTGGGCCGGCCGGCGGGTGGCTCCTGGCACTGGAAGGTGACCGCCGTGCCTGTGTTGGCCTTCATCTCCCTTGAGAAGCCATCGGAAGAGCCATCAAAGCATCGGCCGATGGCGATCTCCTTGGCCAGCCGTGGGCTCTGGTCAGTGACCGTGTAGACACCGTAGTTGTGTCCCAGGGGGTCCAGGGGAGCCAGCATGGCGAAGGTGGCAGGGTCATCTGCTGGCACAGGCGGGGGGTGCCTGGCCAGGTAGTCACGCAGCAGGGTGTTGACAGCCGTAAGGCGGCAGCTCCCCTGGGGCGTGATGGTGACCAGCGTCCTGTCTGCCTGCTGCTGGTCGAACAGCATCCCACTGCACTTGAACTCCACGCAGGCGGCCGATGTGGTGGGCCTCTGGGGGTCGCGCACACTGCGGGCATCCCGCAGCCCGTAGAGCTGGCCCTGAGTGCGGGGGTGGCTGCCCCCGGCGCTGTGCGCGCGGACCATGTACTCTTGGGGGCCCTGCAGGCGCACCTTCAGGAAGCAGGCCCGAAATTCCTGCGGGTTGGGCCACCAGGCCAGGAAATCGCTGGTCCAGGAGGCAGGTGCGCCCTCGCGGAACGGTACCACGTTGTACTCGTACCTGTCCGCCTCCACCCGCGCGAAGCGGAAGTGACTGGCGTTCACGGGGGCCTCCTGGCACTCGCGAAGGTGTCGCCAGGGGTACACGGGCCCGCGGGCCTCGGCGGGGTTGCCGCGCCGGGGCTTGGCCAGGTTGATGCGGAAGCCGTTTCGCTTCAGGGCCGGGTCTTCGTGGTCGGTGCGCCGGTAGCCCAGCCTGTCCAGGTAGGGCTGGGGGACGCCCACCGCGGCCGGGCGCGGCCAGGGCCTGGAGGGCGCTGGCTCCAGCTCCTCGCCCCCCAGGGTGGCGGTGACCAGGGCGGTGTAGGCGTCGGGCCGCTCCTCATCGCAGAAGGCGGGGAGGCAGGCGCCGTTGGGGCCGGTGACAGCGCTGTCGAAGCGGCCCCAGGCTCGGGGGTTGGCCGAGAAGCCCGGGGCAGGTTCCAAATTGACCAGCGTGACCACAGCGCCATCCACCTGCTCGCTGGGCGCGAACTTGTCGTTGGCATAGACGCGCACCTTCACGAAGCAGCGGCGGTGCTCGGGCACGTCCAGGTTAAACAGGCGCCGCTCGCGCACCTCCACGTTGCCCACCAGGAAGGCGCGCTCCTCCCGGCGCACGCGGGATCCCGCCAGCGCCTCGGCCTGGAAGGCGCTCTCCTCCTCCCACAGCCCCGTGCCCGGCGCCAGCGACCACAGCCTCAGCGCCTCCGCGTGGCCTGCCATGTGGATCTGACCAGCGGCCACGCGGACCGCCACAGGCCCCGTGTGCAGCAGCTCTCCAGAGCCGGCGGCGTGCAGGTCCACCGAGAACATGCCGTAGGTGCGCAGCGGCGCCAGCTCCCCATCCTGGTCCAGAAAGCGCAGGTCAGTGGGGGCAGCAGCAGCAGAGGCCAGATCTCGGGGATCCACAAAGGTCACCTGGGCCGCCACATCACCCACGTAGGGTCGTCCATCGGGGAAACGGAAGGCCCCTGGGGGAAGGACAATCTCGCCCATGAGGTCCTCATCCCCCAGGCCACCAAGTGGAATCCTGTTGCTCTGAGTGCCATCCAAGAGGACAGGGACCGGCTTCCGAATAGCCTTGACCTCGTGGTACACACCAGTGCCCCGTGGGTCAAAGGGCAGAACCTTGACAGCGTCCATGAACTCACCGCTGGGATCCAGGAAGGTCAGCACCAGGCGCTCCGGGGATGGAGGCGCCTCAATGGTGAAGTCCCCCTGGTAAGAGGTGAAGCCGAGGGGCTCTCGGCCCAGTAGGATACGGGCGAAGCGCAGGGGCTCCCCAGAGTCTGCGGCCACCACGCGGCCGCGCACCAGGCCCCTCGGGGGCAGGCACTTCTGGCAGCTGCATTCGGCCACCACCTTTACTGGGAGGACGTAGCCTGAGCATTGGACATCCCGGCTCTTCAAGCGCCGAACGCTGCAGCAGCGGCTGTCGGGGTCCCCACAGTGCTGGCCGGAGCCCACGGGGCCAGGGCAGGGCACATCGGGACAGCGGCCCACATCCAGGTAGGCAGGACTGCCGTCCGGCTGACCACAATCGTCTGGGAGCTTGATCAGGTGCTCTGTAGGCTGGGGGTCACAGGCTGGCTGGCCTGGGGCTAGGGACAAGAAAAGACAGCAAAGACTTTGTCTGGGGCCAGGGGCTCAGCCCAAAGTCAGGGCTCAGAGAGGCCTAGGATTGGTGATCAGAGACGCCAAGACTCAGTCTGGGGTTGGGGGGCTCACCCAGCATGGTGAGCCAAGCAGTAGCTGAACGCACAGCACCCGCGTCATTCCAGGCTTTACAGTGGTAGGTGCCCGCCTGCTCGGGGTGCAGCCCCCGTAGCTCCAGTTGGGCCGCATACCCAAGCTCTCTCCTATTCAGCAGGGTCCCGTTATGGAACCTGCATGATGGGCAGGCAACAGATAAGGCTTTGGTGCCTGGAGGGTGGGTGGCGCATTCCCCCCACCCCACCCCGCCATGGCCTGGGGTTCCAGAGCAGCCCCCTCCCCTCCGGATCACCAGGTGAGCCATCAGGAGTAAGGTCAGTGTCCTCACTCACAAAAGGGGCTTGGCCTCTACCCCCACCCACCTGGGAGAGCCTCTCACCTTCCACCTGAGAAGCCGTGGCCACAGCCTCTTCTGGAAGGTCACTGGGGACCAAGGTCACAGGGAGTCTGCACAGGGCTTTGGACATGGGCCAGGGCTTACCAGGAGTATTTCTTGGGTGTGGGGGTGCCTGTGGCTTTGCAGCAGAAGGTCACATTCTGGCCTGCCTCTCGGACTCGGGACTCAGGGTGCTTCATCAGGTAGGGCTTCTCTGGGGGTGCAGGGGTAGAGGTCAAGGACCCGTCCCTCCTAGTCACCCCTTCCCTTTCCATCTACCCCATCTCCCCTTACAGCTTTCAGTGACATCTGACCTCCTCCCCAGGATCTCCCTGGACACCTGTCCCTCTGTCCTAGTACTATCACCTCAGATACCCTGTCTCCCCATGTAGCCCTGCACCCCTCTCCCCAAGACACTTACCCAACTTCTGGAGAACGATGGTGACCACAGCTGAGATAGAGCCGTTGGCTTGGGCCTGGGCCACGCCTACAGAGAAGCCGTCCACTTGGGCACTGATGTTGGCTTGGCTGCTGGCACAGATACCCAGTACCCGGAAGGCTCCGTGGACATCGCTGGTGGCCACAGTGCCTGGCCAACCTTGCAGGAAGACCCTGGCTCCTGGTAGTGGTCGCCCAGATGGGGTGACCACCATGCCCAGGAGAATGTGGCTGGGGCATCCACAGGTGTCAGGATGGCACCCTGGGGACACAGGGAGCAGCAGGGCAGAGGTTGCCCTGGGAAGAGCTGGTGCCTGCCCTTGGCCAGTCACTCAGCAAATGTGTCCACATACCCCTGTGTGCCCTCCAAGCGGCTACTAGTGTGGATGGGATATGGTCAGGGGAGGGACTCGGGGTCCAGGGAGGGCCTCAAAGGGCTCAGAAGAAGCCCCTTCCATGATGTAGGAAACCATAGGGGGGGCAGTGGGGGCCAGCCAAGAGCTACTCTTGGGCTCAGAACATCTTTCCCTTCCAATCTGTGGTTTCTCCATAGAATGGAAAATTCCACTGGAAACCAGGGCAGAGGCATGGGGAGGGCAGAGCTAGGCAGGGGTGGGGTGGGGACCCCACTGCCTTATTGGCCACGGGGCTTCCCCTCCCCACCACAGCATCACCAGCCCAGGGCTGCCAGGCCATGTTTATGGAGCGCAGGCTAGGCGGAATTTCCAGTCATCTCCTGGCCAGCTTGGTGCCTGCCAGGCTGTGAACGCGTGTCTGCGTGGGCGTGGGGCCCGGGTGGGGCAGCAGACGACATGGGCACGCGGCAGTCTGAACCCCTCTCCTGCGCATGTGGCCATGCAGAACCCCCACCAAATATCCACGTGCTCTCAGATTCCGCTGCGGCTGCACAGGGCCCTGGCTCCTGAAATGTTACCTCCACCACAGTGTGGAAGAGCACATTTCCCAGCGTCCCCTGGGCCCAGGGAAGCGGCAGCCAGACTCCAATCTCCCCAGTGCCCCAGTCCTCCAGGCCCCGCCCCCTGCAGGCCCCACACCTTAACTCCCCGCTGCCCACTAGGCAACACCCTTAGCAGGCCCATTGTTTCTCAGCAGACCCGGTCCCTAAGCCTCCCCTCAGGGTCCCCTAACATCTTCAGACCCCGCCCCACACCCACGTTTCCCCCAAGGTCCTGCCCCTCCGTCCAGCCCCTTCCCCTGTCCCTACCACGGCCTTCACCATTCTCATCTGAGACACAGCTGCGCCCCTGACCCACCCCAGCCTTCTACCTGGGCACTGAGGTCGCACGCACTTCTGTGCTTCCTGCGGACGCCCTGGGCATGTGTCCTCAGCTGGGCAGCTACGGCGGCGCAAGCGACGACCTGGCCCGCAGCTCCCCGAGCAGGGACCCCACGGGCCCCACGCCCCCCACACGGCCTCTGCGGGAAGGGAATGAGAGTCAGCTGGCCTTCGGCCCAGGCACTGCAGCGGATCCTGCAACTGGAAGAATGCGGAACAGGCCCACCCACCTGCGCGCCCCTGAGAAAAAGTGCGCTGTAGGTACCGCCCTGCCTACTGACCCCAGGTTCCCACTCCACTGCTGGGTCTGCTGTACCCTGCGCCCCAATATACGGGGCTCAATAAACGCCCAGACGGGCAGAAGCGGGTACAGGGGCTAGAATGAGGGCGGCGGGAGGGTGCCCGCTTCCGGGGACACCAAAGGGGACAAGGGCCCCTGCGCCTCCCCTTCTTTCTGCCCACCTAGCCCCTCTCCAGGCCCCGGCCCGGCCCCTCCCTTACCGAGGGGGCAGCGGAATCGCACGTGGTAGTTGGAGCAGCGGCGGCCTCGCGGTTGCTCCCGGTTGAGGCACCAGAAGCCGCGTACGGGGTTCGAGTGGACCCGCTCGCCGACAGTGGCCGGCAGAGCCCAGTCTGTGGTGCGGGCCTCCAGCTCCAGGGGCTGCGGGCACACGCGCGCCGGACCGTAATAGAAGCGGATGGCAGCCAGGCTCTCGAAGTCACCGTCACCGCCTGGGTGGTCCACGTTGAACCAGGACGTCCACTCGCTGGCCTCTGCGGGCGGAGCACGTGCTGGAACTCCAGTCGGTCCCCGCGGCCCCCATCACCAGCCCTCAGATCGCGCTGCGCAGCGCCCACCTGCCCCCACCTGTGTGCCCCAAGTCCCCAGTCACCGGGGAAGATGCTGGAGTCTGGCGCTGTCTGACTGGGGCCCCCCGAACCCTGTCCTCAGCGAGTGGAGGAAGGCCAGTCATAGACCAGCTCTGGCTGGGGGGGTCCCTATCTGGGTATTCCCCATTGCCCTTGCTTATGGCTGCAGCCCCACCTCACTTCCACCCCACCCTAGCCCCAGTCCTGTTGGGCAGGACCTCCGGGCCAGCCAGCCCTAGCAGGTGCTCGTCCCTTTGCTCGTCCCTTCTTGTCTCAAAAGCAGCCAATAGATTGGAGACCTAGGTTTGAGAGCACCCATGTTCCTGCCAGTGGGAGTGTACACACACACGTCCCTGCCAGTGGGAGTGTACACACACACACACACAATCTGTTTTCCTCGTTGGCAAACAGGCTGACTGGGATCTCATGGGGCACCACTTCTAGGGGTGCGCTGCCACATGGAGAGGTCAGACAGGACCTGGGCCATGTTGAGTCCCCTCCTCAGATGTCCGCCTCCCCCAATCCCAGCTCAGCCAGCACCTCACGACAAGCCTGGGACTCACCTTTCCAGTCCTCCAGGGTTGGTGATGGCTGGCCGGGCAGTGGTGACCACCTGTGGAGCCCCCATGCTGTGCCCGTGGTCCCCCAGGTGGGGATGGGATCTGAGGGAGGGGTGAGCAGGGGGAGGGAGGCACTTTTCATGCACCGACCTGCCATGACCACAGGTCACTTCAGGGCAGAAAAAGCTGAGCTCCTGAGAGCCAGAGCCCATTGGCTGACCCTGTAGACTGTGGGCACCCTCCAGGAAACCCCCAGTCCCTCCCAGAAAACCCTATAATTTCCCACCCACCCACCCCAGGGTCACCTAGCCCCTTCCCTCCTCTGACCTATCCCTGAAGACGTGCACTGGGGTGACCTTGTCTGACTGCCCCCCCCCAAGTTTTGCCCCCCCCCACTCCCTCCCCTCCAGCAGTGGTTCAACCTCCACTAGTTCAGTTCTCCTGGTCTCCTCCCTCAGGCTGAACTGCATCCCCTTCATCCATCCGGGGGGCAAAATTCCCTCCCCGGCCCACTTCCAGCCTACCCCTTCCCTCGGGACCCCGCTGCCCACACAAAAAGTTCTTCCTGAAGTCTAGCCCGCCTTCTGGAGCTGCTGCGGTGGTCTAGGGCCAGGCCAGGGGCGGCGACCTCCGACAAGACCCCGTGCCTGCTGCCTGTCTCCCCATCTGAGAAATGGGCCTCTCTCGCCACTTTGAGCTCCCTGGACACGGCGATCCCCCTCCGGGCGGTGTGTGGGCGGCCGGGCAGGAAGTAGGTCTCGGTGGAAGTGGGTGACTGGGGGGTCGGGGG